TGTGCAGGGTCACAGATACGGATCTATTTGTGTTCTTCTGTATGCAGGCATCCAGTTAGATTGGCACCATTTGTTGAAGATGCTTTCTTTTTTCCATTGTGTATTTCTGAATTCTTTATCAAAACCAGATGTCCATAGGTGTGTGGATTTATGTCTGGGTCTTCCATTCAGTTCCATTGGTCAACCTGTCTGTTTTTGTGCTAATACCATGCTATTTTTATTACTATAGTGCTGTAGTACAATTTTAAATCAAGGATGGTGATGACTTGGGATGTTCTTTTATTATACAGAATTGTTTTTAGCTTTCTTGGGTTTTTGTTTTTCCATGTTGAGTATTGGGCTTTCAAGGTCTGTAAAGAATTGTATTGGAATTTTGTTGAGGATTTCATTGAATCTGTGGATTGCTTTTGGTAGGTTGGCTGTTTTTATTATGTTAAGCTGACCAATTCATGAACACAAGAGGTCTTTCCATTTTCTGATGTCTTCTTCAATTTCTATCTTCAAAGACTTGGAGTTTTCATCATATAAGTCTTTCACTTGTTTTGGTTAAAGTCACCTCAAAATATATTATTTGTAGCTGTTGTGAAGGGTGCTAATTCCCTAATTTCTCAGCCCATTTGTCATTTGTGTATGAGAGGCTTCTGATTTTTATTTATTTATTTTTAGTTAATCTTATATCCAGCCACTTCATTAAAGGTGTTTATCAGCTGTAGGAGTTCCCTGGTAGAATTTCTGGGATCACTTATATATTCTAGTATATCACTTTCTAAAAAACAAACAAACAAAAACAAAAAAAACCAAAACCCCCCCCAAAAAACGACACTTTGTATTCTTTCCAATATGTATTCTCTTGATTGCCTTCCATTGTCTTATTATTCCTTATTAAATTACTATTTTGAATAAATATGGAGAGAGTGGACAGCCTTGTCTTGTTCCTGATATTAGTTGAATTTCTTTGAGTTTCTCTCCATTTAATTTAATGTTGGCTATCAGTTTGGTGTAAATTGCCTTTATTATGTTCATGTACCTTTTATCCCTAATCTCTTCAAGACTTTTTATCACGAAAGGGTGTTGGATTTTGTCAAAGGCTTTTTTCATCATCTAATGAAATGATCACTAAAAAGTTTCTACACCCCATAAGCCTCTCTACTGATGCAGCAATCCAAATCAGACCAAATCAAACCAAACTAGAAAAAGCCCAAGTTTAATGGGTACAATGCTCCTCGATGGCCTTCCACCCCCCCCCCCAGAGAGGAGATGGGAAAGAGTGACCAGAAAACTATGAATCTATTTTCTGGGGGACAGTTTAAAGACCCTGTGGAAGTGGCCTTCACCATCTCTCGGGGAGGGGTCATCGTTTGGTGGACTTTCTGAGATGCAGCAGGATTTGGAGGGAGATAAGGGAGGGGACTTGGGTGGAACTTCCACAATAACATCCCAGACCCTTTGGGGATATGGATGCCAAGGGCTGGGTGAAGCTTCAACCTTAACGATCATGTTTTTTTTTTTTCTCTCTCTCTCTCAGTTTGTTTATATAGTGGGTTACACTGACTGATTTTCATATGTTGAAGCATCCCTGCATCTCCGGGATGAGGCCTCCTTAATCATGATCTTCTTGATGCATTCTTGGGTTCAGTTTGTGAATATTTTATTAAGTATCTTTGCATCTATGTTTATGAGGGAAATTTATTTGTAATTCTTTTTCTTTGTTGAATCTTTGTGTGGTTTGTGTATCAGTGTGACTATGGTCTCATAAAATGAATTTGGCAATGTTCCATTTGTTTTTATTTAAAAAAATGATTTGAAGAATATTGGTGTTAGCTCTTCTTTGAAAGTGTGGTAGAGTAGAATTCTGGGCTAAACCCATCTGGCCCTGGGTGTTTTTTTTTTTTTGCTTGTTTTGTTTTTTAATTGGGAGACTTTTAGTAAGTGTTTCTATTTCCTTAAGGGTTATAGGCCTATTTAAACTGTTTATCTGATTTTGGTTTAACTTTGGTAAGTAGAATCCATTGAGAAAATTATCTATTTCTTTTAGATTTCCCAATTTTGTGGTTTTTAAAGTATGACCTGATGATTCTTTGGATTTCCTTGGTGTCTGTTGTTAGTCCCTCTTTTTGTATCTGATGTTCATTTCTAGATTTCATGATAAATAAAAAATAAACACTAAGTATTTTTTTAAGAAAATTGTTACACTTAGTTTGTGTGTGCGCGCATGTGTCACAGTATATACTTGGAGTTCATAGAACAACCGTGGGAATCGGTTTTCTCTTTCTACCACATGTGGAGCCTGGGGATCAGACTTAGGTAGTCAGGCTTGGTGGCGAGTACCTCTGTTTTCCTGCTGAACCATCTTGTTTCTTGTTTGTTTGTTTCATAAGACAGGGTCTCTCTATATCCCAGACTGACTTCAAACTCATGGCAATCTTCCTGCCTTAGCATCTCAAGTGCTAGGATGACAGTGTGGGCCACAATGCCCACACAAACATTGTTTTTTAGTTAATTTGTTTTAACTTTATACACTGGCTATGTAGTAATGTAGTATGTAACTTTAAAAGCCAGATAGATGCCTTCTTGAACATCTTCCATGAATAGTGGTTCCTTTGAAATGTCCATATCCCTTCTTTGGAGACTGATTTTGCAGACATGACAAAGAATTTTGTGCCAGGAAGCTAACCCTGGACCACTGGGGAGGCTCAAGGTTGCTACCCTAAGAGTCTCTTTAAGTGAAAGGAAAGCAGGAAGAGTTTCAGCCTAGGAAACACCTCCTGGGAGCTCTCAAAAGCCAAGGAATACTGTCAGTCTTCACAAGGAAAAGGCAAGGAAAGGAATTCTCTTTTCCAGCCTTCCAAAGGCAGGTTCTCCATTACCACCTGGATTTTAAGCCCCAAAAGTCTATGCTAACTCTTGACCTCTGGAAGTATAAGATAAGGAATGTATGTTGTTCTCACTTGTAGCTTGTAGCACTTTGTTTAAGCAATGATAGGAAACTAGTAAGCCATTTCTTGTCTAGGGGCTTCTGAGTTTAATGCCCAGGCATGTATCTCTTTATTAGCTAGCTGGTAGCCACCTGTGGCTCTCAAATATATCGAACACTCCAAATGAAAGCTTTTATGTTTCCTTCCCAAACCTGATCATCACCCTAACCTTTAGTCACTCTAGAAAGTGCCACAACCATCTAGCCAATTATTAAAATTAGAAACCTGGAAGTCATTCTTTATTCATTCCTTACAACTAATCAATCATAAGCTTCATCAATTTTATATCCAAATACATTATACATATACATATGTAATATACATACACATATACACGCATACATAATATACATATACACATGTACATATCTACTTCAGTCCAGTTTCACTGGCACTAATTCTTGATGCTTGGTTAACCCATTCTCCACCCAGCATCCCAAGTGGTACTTAGAAAAGATGAGATCTGAACTGTGTTAGAAGTTGATGTGCTAGCAGAGCAGACATGAATGACAACTTGGTTAACTTACAGAGCAATGATCACTCTGACCTCAGAAAGGAAGGTAGACGATGGCATGCACCTCTACCTACAAAATCACTCACGTACTTCCAGGATGATGTGATCCATGCTGGATCCAACAAGGCTGCATAAATGCCATACAAACCAGATCTGAAGCAGATCACAAGCTGCAAAAGTCCAATGCAGTTTGCAATCATATCAAGAAACCCCAGTGGATTGCTAAGACTGTTTAAATAGTGTCACTTAGGCAGGTTTGTGGACCAAGCCTCTAATCCCAGCACCTGGAAGCTGAGGCAGAAGGACTAACATGAGTTTGACAAAGTCTGCACTACACAGTGAATCATATGCCAGCTTCAGCTATTTGGGTACAGTGTAAGAAACTAAAAAATAGTTTTAAATGCTTCACTTGTGATATTTTTGTTTCTTTTTTTGGGACATGGGTGCAGCTATATTGCTCAGACCACTGCCCAGCTCCTCAGTCTCCTGCACCAAGTTGTGATCATTTTTTTTACATGTCAGGAGGTGCAGGTGCCTGAAACTCCATCCAGCCCTAGGGCATCTGCACAGGCGCCTCTTCCCCTTTCAGGGTCTTGGAGCTGCAACCAGCCTGGCAGAGACTAGAGAGACATCCGTGTCCCTCTATTAGACTACTGAAACAATGGACTGGAAAAACTGTAATTTCCCCAAGAATCTCATGCTGGCAGAAGGACGAGGCTGAATCCTGGTGCTGGAAACAGACTTCACACAAGACACTTTACTGGAGAGGTTGGAATCCAGACAACGATACACAGGACTACTTGACCTGGATCGCTTAGACATGCAAGTCTCAAACTCTATATATTTTAGCCTCAATTTAGGGCTTCCAAAATGAATCCGGGGGAGTGCATCTTTGGATCTCTTTGTTCCTCTTCCCAATATGGTCACATTGAATTTATTACTATCATTATCATTATACTAATTCAGCTGTTCTCGTTGACTTATGGAGACAGGTGGCTGAACCTGGTTCAGGGACACAAATAGTGACACCCACATTCGGTAATAGAATTGCCTAGTTCCCTTTAGTGGTCGGAGGCTGGCAGCTGACTGTTACACTCAGCTAGTACGTGTCTTGTCACTGGGCACTCCACCAGAGCCTCCTGGCTGGCGTGGCAAGGCTTAATTCCAGAGACCACTCTGGGAACAGGGACATAGCATTGCCTCCGTGCTTGGTCCGTGAGATGACTCTCAACTCGAGTGCAAGACTAAAACAACCATCTCATGGGAAAACTCAAGCTTCACTGTAGTCTTCGCCGGAGAAGAACACCCCCAGGCGAGAACTGGGGTCAGCAAACCGAGTGTACGTCACTGCTCCAGCTGACACGACAGCGGAAGGCGCGGCAAACAACAGCCCCGGCTAACAGAAATACGCGAGGAGGGGGCGGGGTGGAGCCGGGCGCCGCGATCGACGGCTCGGCGCTCCGCGGGAGTGGGGGGGTGGGGGGGATGGGGAGTAGGGAGACGTCTGCCTGGTGGAGCGCCGAGTCATCGAGCGGCGCGAGAGTAGCGGAAGCCTGGGGGTGCGCTTGCCCGGGCCTGCTGTGTAGGCCGGCTGGACGCTCGCCTGCTGAGTGCTGAGGTGGCGCCGGAGGGGACGAACCGGGCGAGGGCCACGAGTCAGTTGATGATTCACGAGCATCGTGTCAGACTCCGACACCTCCCGCTGCCGCTGTGGGCCTTGCGCTGTGTGTGATCCCGGAGCTGTCAGGCTCAGCGTGCGGGTGAATGGGGACCGGGGCGTGCAGAGGTAGGCCTGGCCCGGCTACTGCCCATCCCCGCAAGCAGAGGGGAGCGTAGCCACGGGTCCCGGGGCAGAGGTGTGAGAGCTGCTGAGCACCACTGCCCTGGGGTGGAGGGGGTTTGCTCTGGAAGACTGTCTTGGAGGCCCGCCCAACACTGACCATCTGGACTCTTGGCCTCCTAGGAAATGTGGTCGGCGTTTATATCCATCCCTGAACAAGCTTGTAAAATGGTTAGAGCTCAGGGATGGGCTTTGCTCCTCAGATAGGAGGGGTGTGGCGGGGGTACAATTTAACCGCAAAGATAATGGCTTGGCCCAACTGCAGAGGCTCTCTCTGGAAGGAATGCCAAACTGAATTATAGAGGGGCAGTGGGGTTCTGAGAACTCTGCAGCCCGTTTTATTGCGGTGAGTTCCATCCGCTCGGCGCGAAAGGAAGGTGTGTGTTAAGTTCTCCAGAAAAGCTTGGACTCGACATGTTTGTGGAAGGTACACACAAGGCAGAGAGTGCGCAGGGCAGTGACCTTAGTGCAGGAAGATGGTCCTGTCAGCCATTAACTATATATATTTAACTCCGATTTAGAGCAAGTGGATTTTCTTTCTATACCTCATTGACCCTGTCCGTATAGTGGAGTGAATGAGACAGGGTGCCATGATGGTTACAACACTATGTTAGCACAGTGCTGGGTGAAAGTGCTTAGCAATGTTTACTATGGTTACTCTGCTGGTGACTGCTTGCACAAATATACTTATAGAAAACACTTTCCCATGGTTGGGACATTACATTACAGCCTTTACCGCATGTATAGAGCACGATGGAGCTGACTGTTGTTGTATGTGAACACTGCCATTTCTTAGAGCCGGGGAGATGTCTGGTGGAAGGTGTAAAGCCGAAAACTTGACCTGAGTTTGGGTTCTCAGAACCTGGTAAAAATCAGTCTTTTGATTCGAGTGGCTGTAATCCCGGCAGCCAGAAACGTTGGGATCCTGGGAGGGAGGCATGGAGACAACAGAGAGCCTGCCTGCCTCTTAACAAGGTGAGTGTAGCCGGGAGTTGATGAGATTGTTCTGGGAGGCAGGCAAATTACTGGCAGAGAAAGAGAAGCGAAAAGCTCTTTTGAAGCAAGCTGACAGCTCCCGTTGGGATGGGATGGGCCTCAGATTTGGAAGTCCTTGCAGGTTGGCTCTGGGTGGGGCATTTCCCTTATTGTCTGGTCCACTGATCCAAGTGTTCACCCTGGCAGCCTTTCCTTCCTGCTGTTTTCATTTGTTTGGGTGTTACTGTCATGCCCCTGCACTCCTGTTCACCTTGGAGGACTGATGCTGCAGTTTGCCCTTTGACCCACGCAGCAGTCATTTCACTGGCCCCAGTGCTCAAAGCCGTTTGCACTTGGGGCCCCACACATTTGGATTGGGATACACAGTATGCACTGACAAATACAGATACGGTTGATTGATTTTAATTTTTGTCTAATCCACTATGTAAAGAAGCAAATTTTATCTTGTTTTACTTGTGCTCTATGAAACATAAATTCCCTTTATGTCGTTTAAGTCCATTTTGTCACATTACTCATCCCATATTAATGATAAAAATGCTGGTCACTGTCTTCAGTATAAAAATGTGTCTTTAGTGGTGCATGTCTATAAACCCAGCACTCAGGAAGCAGAGGCAGGCAGATATCAGTGAGTTTGAGGCTAGCCTGGTCTGCAGAGAAAAATCTCAGGACAGTTAGGGGTCTATAGAGAGACCCTGTCTCAAAAATATAAAAAAAACAGATTTTTTTTTTTTTTAAAAAAAGTGTCTTTGGGAATATTTTATCCAGAACAAATAACAGATAGTTTGTTAAAGTTTCTGGTTTCTGTTGTTGTTCCTGTTTGTGGAAACAAAATGATTGGTTGGGATCTGTTGTGTTCTGGGGCCAGCTTCTACAACGTTCATTCCTGAAATCAGAAATGAGACCTTTTTCAGCTCCATACCAATCTCAATGTTCTATGCAGTGCCCTGCACAGACTAAAGACTCGGCAGTTCTTGTTCACTTCATGTTTTATTTCCAAGGCTTTTAGAACCTTTGTTGGTGGTTTGCTACTTCCATTATCTTTAAATTTTTCCATGTTCCCATTTAATTCAGAAATATAATTATAAATGTTTAAAAAGTAAAGAATATAGCAATAGCTTGTAAAATGTTACCAACTGCATAATAGGTATTATATATATTTATAAATAAATATGCATTTATAGGAGAATGGTGCATGCCTATAACTCCAGCACTCTGGATGCTTAGACAGGGGAGTTGTCATGAGTTGGAAGCTTATGTAATGAGTGCTAGGACAGGCCAGCCAGGACTGTGTAAGGCTGTCTCAAACAAACAAACAAACAAACAAAAACCCGCAAATAAGACCAAGTAACAAATGGTGGGACAAGGAGAGGAGAGGAGATGGAAGAAGAGAAAGGAGAGGAAAGAGCATCAGTACTGTGAACCACTGAGAAGAGCCATACGGCTGAAAGAACAGCCTGGCAGATTTTCATTCTGAGGTGTGTTGTGACTTTTTCATTTGAGGCCTTGTGAATATACTATCTCATCATGCATTTGTGTATTTATTTATTTATCTGTTTATTTACTGGGACAAGGTCTTACCGTAGAACTCTGGCTGGCCGGGAACTTGCATGTAGTCCAGGCTCGCCTGGAACTCAGAGAGAGTGTGCTCAACCATGTCCAGTATGAAATAATTAGTTTTTAAAATTCAAGAAATACTGATGCTGGGCGGTGGTGGCACATGGCTTTAATCCCAGCACTTGGGAGACACAGGCAGGCCGATCTCTGTGAGTTTGAGACCAGCCTGGTCTACAAGAGCTAGTTCCAAGACAGTCTCCAAAGCTACACAGAGAAGCCCTGTCTTAAAAAACAAAGACAAAAACAACAACAACCAAAAAACGCAAAAAAAGAACACTTGTGTTTTCATAGTTTATACAGCTAGCTAACGGATTAGTTAGTATAACAGCTCAGTAACTTGGCAAACACAAAGCACCCATTAATCGGCACGTTTATTGTTCCACATAAAATAAAAAGACCAACTCCAATCGTTTGCTTTGCCTCACCCAGCAAATTAAATATCAGAACAATTAGTCAGCTCACATTTGGCCAGTGGAGGGAGGGTTATATACAGGAACACATAGGACAGCCATTTTAGAAGAATAGTTTTGTCTCTAATGATTAAGTAGTACTTTAGACTCTTGTCAGAATGCTCATTTGACAGTTGCTTTTCATTGGATAGAATTAGCCTTTTCTGGGTATTATGCTTTCAGAGTGGGCCTCATCATGGGACAGGCTGCATGGTCAGGGACTCCACTGAAGTGTACCCACATCAGAAGACTCTCGATGGTCTGACTGCTGAGCCTCAGAGGGCAGCACCACTCCCGTCACATCCTGGGTTCCTAGTTCAAGTTCCAAATCTTGCTGTGCTTCCTCAAACCTGAGCACTGGGGTCAGAGTCCTTGAGGTGAAACTTAACATTGCTACTGGAAAGTTTAAAGTGCTCCATAAAACAAGTCCCTCCCCTTTTCTTGTAGCCTCCTCCCATCTCTTTTTCTCTTCCTTATCTCATGTCTCACCATGTGGCCAAGATTGGCTTCCAACTCAGGATCTTTGGATCCCCCTACCTCAGCCTTCCAAGTGCTGGGATCTAGAGACAAGTTCCCTACACCAAGCATCTCCTGCTCTGACTTTTGCCTGTGTAAGTGAAGGGTGTGGGGTGAGGGCAGATGGGGAGATAGGTAGGCAGAGGAAGTGTTTTCATGTCTGTAGCAAGGCCACAGTGCTGAAAGGGAGGGTGGCATCTACAAGGGTGGGGTGAGAAGGACCTGGGGTTTATGTGAAGCCTTTCCGGAAGAGGTGACACTTAGCCAGGTTTGAAGCCTGGGTAGGAGTCTGGGCAAGGGGAAAGGAGTTGAGGTCCAGGTGCTGCCGTCAGTCTACTGTTGGAAGCACAGGCTTTCTGATGTGCTTGATACTAGTAACGGTCAGAGAGACACGGTTTCAAAAATGGGACGAGGTCCAGATTAGCAATCTGGATTTTATTCCATGGTGAGGTATGCTGATTGGTGTGACAATCAGATCTGGAAACTTATGTCACTTTGAAAGTCTGTGGGAGAAGGGCAGGGCTGGAGAAGGGTACACCACTGTGACCACTCTCTCAGAGGCAAGACAGCCGAGGCTCAGCTAGGGAAGTGCTGGGAGAATGTGAAAGCTCATAGGTGAGTTAGTAGGGCTTAGGAGGGAGGTACTGTTGAGGAATGGAAGCGGCAAGATATCAGGGCATTTGGATGAGTTGTACATAACTGAGTTAGCGAACAAACCAGGAAACACAGGTTTGTGGGAGAAAATGAGTTCAGTTTGGGACACCGACTTTCAGGTGCCTTGGGGAAGTCTATGGGCATTTGGAGCGGACTTTGAGGCCTGGCATGTAGGCTCAGACCAGGTCTTGGAAGTAGAGTTTCCTCCTAAGCATCTTTGTCTTCCCAAAGAAGTGTCATGTGAGGGCAAAGACATGCTCTTTGAAGATGTAATCTTGAATCTTGGGGAAGTAATTTTCTCTCTCTAGGCCTGTGTCTCCCTTTTTGTAAAATGAGGGAGTTAACCAGACAGATGATTCTCTACCCAAGTTTTCTAACAGTCTACTATGTTGGGCTCACTTGTGAGTATACCAAGTATTTTTATTTTTTTATTTTTAGTAAGTCCTTTGAACTAATAATTAAAGAGTTGATATTTGTTCATCTTTTGAATGAAAATTGCATTTCAGTGTGCTGGTGAGAGAAGTGGATGGCGTATGTTCAGCCTGCTGGAATTTCATCACTTGATGCTCCAGTGGGGGTGTCATGCAGGAGGAGTGGGGTGGAGCAAAGATTACAAGCCTCAGTACTAAACAACTACTTTCAGCTGAAAAGTTTTGTTTTTCTGCTTCATAGTTGTTCCAGTTATAAACAGTAACTTTTATTTATTTATTTATTTGTATCATTAGGAACTCTATTTTAAGAAACTCTCAACTAAAAAAAAGCAAGTCATGGAGAAGAATGGGAATAACCGAAAGCTTCGGGTTTGCGTCGCTACCTGCAACCGCGCAGATTACTCCAAACTGGCCCCAATCATGTTTGGGATTAAGACAGAGCCTGCCTTCTTTGAGCTGGATGTGGTGGTCCTGGGCTCTCACCTGATAGACGACTATGGGTGAGAATACCAGTGTTTTCATGCTCTTCCTTCAGCAGTGTGCGTGGGAGGGCTTGGGTTTTGTAGGCTTATGGACCTACTATCAAACCCCAGTTCTTTCTTAGTCTCTATGGACCTTGGGGAACTTGGGAAGCATCTCAGAGTCTGTTAGTTCAGTTATAAATCAGGGTGAAAACCAACATGGTGATGAAAGCTGTCACAGTGATGCTGTTTTAGCAGATACCTGATAATTGACAGCTGGAAGTATTGTTACCTGTTACTACAATCAGAAGAAACGTTTGTGTATGTAATTGTATATATAAAATTGGATTATAATAACATGACTTCATGACATAATTTTTTTGGTCTTGGGGTTTGAGCCCAGAGCCTCAAGCAAGCTAAACCTGTGCTTTACCGCAGGGCACCCTTATTTCACACCAAGGTGGCTTGTGAGTTCCAATGGCTGTTCTTCAAAATGGTTTATGGAACTGAGTATATTGGTGTGTGCCTATAATTGTACTACTTAGGAAGCAGAGGCAGGAGGATTGCTTTGAGTCTGAGGCCTGCCCAAATTACAAGTGGGGGCTGTAAAGTAAGACCCTGTCTCCAAACAGAAATAAAACAACAAAACCAACCCTGGTTTACAAGCCAAGCACATATAAAGTCATATATATGAAACAAGATTTACAAAAATCTCATTTATTTTATGGTAAATTAAAATGATGTATTCCCTATGTGTGTACATTAAGGTCTGTGCTGTAAGCAGGGTATATCTGAAAATTGAAGGGTAATCTGAGAGCAGTGAATACACCAGGAAGGAGCCTTGGCTTTGCTCTCTGCATACATTTAGCGCACCCTTGTGGAGTGAAAATGTTCATGCAGCCGCCAAAGACTTGGAACATGGTATATGAAAGAAGCTAGCGCTCAGTCAAACTCACTTTCAAAGTACTTTTAAGTCGGGGAGAAATGAATGGCAAGAGCAGTGAGCAGAATACCCGCTGTCTCCTAAACTCCATGTGGCAGCTTGCTGTAGGAGACCGTTAAGGAGTGGGGAGGAGGCGTATAGGTACCACCATAGATTATTTTTTAATTGAAATGAGTCTGGCTATCTAAGGCAGTCAATCACTTGAGTGATAGGATGCTTATAGGTTCTCTTCTGTGACAGAGCTGGCACAGGAAGGCTGGCTTCTGGGAAGGAGGCTCTCTCTAGGAAGTGATAGTTGCTACAGCAACTGAGGTAGAAAGGTAATATTTGATGGTGAGACTATTGAATAAGAAAATCAACTAGTACTTAGGAAAATATATGCTATGTTCCTTCCAACTTGAGGAACTCAATAACAAAAGACAAGAATGTAAGAAATTTAGCATAATCTTATACCTTTTTAGTCTTAAACTATGTGAATACATTTTACAAATATTATTTATTTTCAAAAGAAGTATAGCCTTCTTCTGAAATTACAGACATATGTCTCTATGCCTGGCTTATTTTTGTTGAATTTATTTATTTATTTATTTATTTATTTTGAGACAGAGTCTGTCCATGTAGTCTATCTAACCTGGAAATTACTAGATAGTCCGGGCTAGACTTGAACTTGTGGTGATCCTCCTATCTCTGCCTCCCAAGTAGTGGCATGCATCACCATGCTGCCTTGTACTCTCCTTAGGCTTTGCTGCTGAGGCTGGTTCCCAAGTCTAGGACTTAGCTGATCCTTCTGCCTCGGGTTCCCAAATAGATGGGACTTAGGAACATTTCTATGCCTGGCTTGTATAATGTACTTTTATAAGGCATTAAAACAGTATGGACTGAGCTAGGTGTGGTGGCACACGCATTTAATCCCAGCACTTGGGAAGCAGAAGCAGGCAGATCTCTGTGAGTTCAAGACCAGCCTAGTCTACAAAGGGTGCTGCATGATAGCCAGGACTGTTACATAGAGAAACCCTGTCTTGAAAAGCCAAAAAAAAAAAAAACAAAAAACAAAAAACAAAAAACAAGAAACCCAACCAATGTGGGCTGGTGAAATGACTCTTCAAAAAGCCTAATGCCCTGAGTTCAGTACCTGGAGCCTACATAAAAGTGGAATAAATCAGTAGTAAAAATAAGCCACTTTCTATTTCAACTTACACATCCCCAGGTTTATGTTGGTTCACCTTTAGAATGTTGTAACTTAATGATTAATCTAAGGGGATAGGAATTCAGTAGAAATTATGCTTCTACTTTGGATTTATTCCTGGGCTAGAAATATTCGGTAAGGAACTCTGGATATAAAGGGACACAAACTTGCATGAGCTTACCATTCCGCCAGGACTCTGCCCATACTGTGTTTGTAAGCCAGGGTGTTTGGTAGAATAGGTATATAAAATGCATTTCTGCTTGTTTTGTTTGGTTGGGACACTTCCTCATTATGGAGCATGGCTGGCTTAGGGCTGGTGTGGGCCAGGCTAGTGTGAGCTTCCAGCAGTCCTTCTGCCTCTGCTTTCCAAATGTAACAGCAGGCAGACGCTGACTTCCAACAACAGCCTGAATGCACTTTCAGTGTTTGAGAGCTTTAATTTACAGTGAGGTTGTGAGGATTTACTCTCACTCAGGATTGTTTTCAGCCAGCATTCTCACACTTTCTAAGAGTTGAGTGTGAGGAGCTGGAGAGATGACTCATCGATGAAGGGCACTTGTTAGGAGTGACCAGACTCAGTCCAGCACTCACATGGTGGCCCACAACCGTCTGTAACTCCAGACCTGAGCCCCGTGGGCACCAGGCACACACATGGTTCACAGACACACATTCAGGCAGAATACTCACACACATAAATTTAAAGAGTAAATCTGAAAAAAATTTTTAAAGGGTTGAGTGTGAAAAGAAATCAAACGAATGTCAGCAGCATGCTTGTATTCATTTGTCCTTTCAGCAGTAGTTACTATACGCATGAACTGTGCACAGTGGCAAAAACAAAGTCCCTGCCCCCAAAGGCCCCACGTTCTGGTGGGGAAATGGATGATCCCCATAGAAGTAATAAAATACAGAAGCTAAAGGGGTCATTTCATGTATCATTTTCTTACACCATAAGAAATAAATTTATGGCATGTAGTGCTGTCATTCCTGTGGAACTTTAGGAGTAAATATTCAACTCAAATTACAAAATACTCTTTGAGAAAAACAAGTACAGTTTCTATGAGTTTCAGAACAGCTCGGATGAGGTTAGTTCTCTCACAACTACCCCCCGACAAGCTCTGGAAAAACATTCTTAAAATATTGGATGTAGTGGTGCAGCCCTATAAATCCCACCTACTCTCAAGATGTAGGTAGGATGATTTTAAGTTCAGGACTGCTTAGACATCTTAGTGAAGCTGTCTCACAAAAAGAATAAAACCAGCACTTGGAGAATAGTGCATTGATATAGCGGTGCTTACTTAGCATGCAGGAGGGCCTGGGCTCAGTCCCTAGTCATACACACACACACACACACACACACACACACACACACACGGCAGAGGGATGAGAAATAGTCACTCATTCAATCACAAAAAGACAACTAGGAATGAAACCATTGGAAATTAAACACGGCACTTGTCAGGAATCTGAGTCAGCTCACTGCAGATACTTGCATGTTTATTATAGCACTGTTCACAATAGACAGGTAATGGAATCGGCCTGGATTCTGACCAGTAGATGAATAGGTAATGGAAATGTGGTGTGCATAGATAGTGGAATGTAGTCCAGCTGTAAGAAAATGAAATTATGACCCAGAAAAAAGGATGGAACTGCTGAGAATGTTAAGTAAAATAAGCCAGATTCAGAAAGACAGACTGCCTGTTTACTTTCTCATGGAGAATATAGATTTAAATTAATATACAAGCACATATACATAGACACAAAAGTAGAAAGTGGACGATGTCCAAAGGGAAGAGGGACAGGAGAGGGCCATGGACTCTGTGATACAAAAGCAGAAGGGACTCCCAAGGAGTGGGGAGGAGGAAGGGTGGGGCGGTAAGGACAGAATACAATGGTATGTATGGGTAAAATGTCGTGATGACCCATTCCTTTTTTGCATACTAACTAAAAAATTAAAAGAAATGTATAGTATAGTGCCATGCCAGGCATCCTGGTTCCCTGCTTTTTAATTAATTAATTAATTAATTAATTAATTAATTAATTTTTGGTTAGGAAAAGACCTTAGTTTTGTTAACCTCTCTCCCCATTAAAATGTCAATTTCCTCTTTTAAAAAAATATGTGAATGATAAAAAGTAAAAGGCCTGATCATTATTAAAAGCTGGATTTCTGTCTGCCCTAAAGAAAATGTCTCCTTCGCTGTTTTTCCCTCCTGGCTCTGCCTGGGAGGGGCACAGCTGAGTCTTCCAAGGGAGGCTTTATCTTGATTTGGGTGATAGATACACCATGTAACAGTGTGAATCAGGTAGAAGTACATGTGTGGTCTTTGCTCTTTATTTGTAGTTTATATTTCAATTTAATTACGTGTTTTAGCAAGCAAAAATGTAAACAGGTGTCTCCCTTGAGGGCTAGTATTACTGCTTTCATTTGTAAGAACATGTGTTATGTCCTTGTTGCTCCTGCTTTAGAAACACGTATCGCATGATTGAGCAAGATGACTTTGACATTAACACCAGGCTACACACAATCGTTAGAGGGGAAGATGAAGCAGCCATGGTAGAGTCAGTAGGCCTAGCTCTAGTGAAGCTCCCAGATGTCCTTAATCGCCTGAAGCCTGACATCATGATTGTTCACGGAGACCGATTTGATGCCCTTGCCCTGGCTACATCTGCTGCCTTGATGAATATCCGAATCCTTCACATTGAAGGAGGAGAGGTCAGTGGGACTATTGATGACTCTATCAGACATGCCATAACAAAACTGGCTCATTACCACGTGTGCTGCACCAGAAGTGCAGAACAGCACCTGATATCCATGTGTGAGGACCACGACCGCATCCTTTTGGCAGGCTGCCCTTCCTATGACAAACTGCTCTCAGCCAAGAATAAAGACTATATGAGCATCATTCGGATGTGGCTAGGTATGTGTGCCAAACTTTATTCAGGCTAATGGTTGTTTTTGTCAGAAAGTATTGGGTATCTTTGGAAACTCATGGACACAATATTCCATTAGAAACCAGAGAGCTGAGGTGTTACTTCACGGTTCTTGTTTTGTGGTATTCCTTTACCTCCAAGGTTCTCTATAGAATAAAAACACTGAATTGATTTAAAATCTATGCTGTGTTTGTACATGCAGAATACTTTTACTCCACTAAATATTTTTTGTGAGTAATATTCACAAGGATAAGGATAAGTTCTTTAAGAGTTTTTTTTTTTTTTTAAAGATTTATTCATTACATGTACAGTGTTCTGTCTGCATATATTCTTGTAGAAGAGGGCACCAGATCTCATTACAGATGGTTGTGAGCCACCATGTGGTTGCTGGGAATTGAACTCAGGACCTCTGGAAGACCAATTAGTATTCTTAATCACTGAGCCACCATCTCTCCATCCCCTAACAGTTTTAATACATGTGTTGATGAATTTTTTAAAAGTTAGTTTTATTATTGTGTGAGCATATGTGTATATGTTCAAAACGTGGTGTGTGTATGTATGGAGGTCAGAGGACAAGCTTCTGGAGTTACACTGTAGTCTAGGGATTGAACCCAGGTCAATAGACTTAAGCACTTTAACCTGCTGGCCTTCCGTTTTCTTTTTCTTTTTCTCTTTTTTTGGGACAGGATCTAGTGTCGTCTGGTTTTAAACTTGTTATGTAGCTCAGAATAATCTTGAACTCTTGACCCTCCTGCATCTACCTTCTAAGTTCTAGGATTATACGCATATGGTACCATACCTGTCTGTGAGCACAATTCTTACTTTATCAAACATGGGGGAAAGGAGATGGCTCACTGGTTCAGATGTTTGGCATACAAGCATGAAGACCTGAATTTGATCCCTAAGAATCCACATAAAAAACCAACTATGGTGGTATGCCTTTGCCCTGGCATGGCGTGGGTGGGGTGGGGTGGGGTGGGGTGGGGGAGTGAGGTAGGGACAGGAGGCCTAGCTAGTCCAGCTGAATTGGTAAGCTTTGGATTTGGTAAGGTGGAGAGCAACAGAGGGAGACATCCAGTGTTGCCCTCTGGCCTCCACATGTGCACATGCATGCATGTGTGTTTACAGGCACACAGTGTTGGGGGAGGTGTGCTATAATATTACCCATTCCTGTAAAAGCTTTAATAGTGGAAAGGCTAGAAAGTAGGTAAAACTAATTTATTATATTTTTTTCCAGTGTGACCTTAGGGTACTTTTATTTTTTTCTATTTTTTTTTCTTGGGTTTTTTTTTTTTTTTTTTTTTTTTTTTTTGAGATAGAGTTACTCTGTATAACAGCCCTGACTGTCCTGGAACTCACTCTGTAGACCAGGCTGGTTTCCATCTCAGAGATCTGCCTGCCTCTGCCTCCCAAGTGCTGGGATTAAAGGTGTGCACACAACACCCAGCTTCTTGTTTTATTTTTAAACTGATGAAAAATAAAACACTAGACAGTGAACCAAAACTGTACCTGGCAACAGTTCATTTTGTAAATGATACAATTCACTTCTCTCCTAGCAACTTCTTATGCTTTTATTCTGTTAACAAGGAAGTAAAATAGTGCAGGCCACTTATCACATGCAGCTTTATCACCTGAACATTAATATGATCCCAATGAAAATATTAGCAAGGTGGAAAAGATACGTTAAGCTCTTCATAATGAGAGGCATCCCAACAGTAAATGTCAGTCTCAGCAGCCAGGATAGACAGTTCTGGCTCAAGCTTTCTTTCTCAGAATTAAAAACAAACAAAACAATAAACAACAAAAATATATCTAGTCAGGTACAGTGGCACATGCCTTAATCCTAGCATTTTGGAGGAGATCAAGAGTATAAGGTAATCTTTAGCTGTATTGAGTTCAAGGCCAACCTGGAATATGTGAGACCCTGTCTCAAAAAAAAAAAAAATGGCTGATAGCTCAGCTGGTAAATGCACTTGACCCCAAGCCTGAGTTTGTTCCCTGGAGTAATAACGTACATGATGGAAGGAGACTATTGCAAGTTATCTTCTACAAGTCATAGCATGCATATGACCCCTCACTAACATTGATAATAAATAAAGCAAAGTTTTTTTAAAAAAAAGGTACAAAGTAGAAGGTAAATCACTCATGGAATGAAGTGCTAGAATTCTTCCCCTGAGGCTTCTGATTACTCCTTACCAATAAATTGTATAGAATGGCCCTTAGCATGGGACTAGAGAAGCTCTTTAACATCTCAACCCTCAGGGCTAAGGATGTGGCTGGCTACTTGATTAGTGAACCCTGGGTTTAATTCCTAGACTCCTGAATGTGTGTGTGTGTGTGTTGGGGGGATCCTTTCACTTTCAAAAAAAAAAATCCTCTGAAAAGCCCAGAGATCAGAGACTTGCCTTCTATTTGTTTTCAAGATAATAGACAAAGAATGAAGATGAAGGGTTGGATGGTGAGGAGACCCTGAGAGGAGATTTCATAAGCTTACTGATTCATAGACATTTGTGCTCTGGCTACTACCGTAGGGTAGCATCTTCATGTTACAGCCCTGTGTGTTGCCGCTGAGGTTTAGAGTGTAGCTATGCACTGTATTGCCTTATCAGGTATGGTATAAGCCCTTAGATTATTTGTGCTTGCATTAGCTCATCCTTTAGACTTCTGCTAGTCATCATAGGAACTGCTCTCTCCCTTTTCACGTTTGAAAATGTGTTCCAGGCCAGCCAAGACTACATACTGAGACCCTGCCTCACGAAGCAAGCAACAGCAACAAGCAGAGTCTTAACTAATGAAGCACTGTGCTCCGATGTCTTTAAACAGGTGATGATGTAAAATGTAAAGACTACATTGTTGCACTGCAGCATCCCGTGACCACTGACATTAAGCATTCCATAAAGATGTTTGAATTAACACTGGACGCACTCATCTCATTTAACAAGAGGACCCTAGTTCTGTTTCCAAATATCGATGCAGGTAATAGAACTCACAAATGAAATCATGCCATCTACCTTTCCAAATCTTAATTTCTGTTATTCACCTCTTTTCATGACTGTCACCTTTTTCTTGCCCATTCTGTCACTAAAGGCCCTTCGGAAATGCTTCCTAGCAAAGGGTTACCTATCTCACTGTAGCTCAAAATGTTTTGTTGTAGTTAACTCTAGTAGAAACAATGGGAAGCAAATATTTTGTAAGAATCTCACCGATCTGCAGTTTGCCCTCATGCTTAGTCCTTTCCCTCCAGTTTTCACTGGAAAGAAACTCTAAGGGCTGTGAGACATAACCCTTAGAGGTTAAGGTCAAGGAGTGTCTCTAGGCAAGTAATGATGCCACTAGCTGCAGTAAGATCACCTTTATTATTGATTTTTGTTTTCTTTCCTGTTTGTGTTAGCTATGCTTCAAAGAAGAATCTTGATCTTAAATAGTTTGGATCTGAAGTCCCTAGCCTGTCAATCCTCAGGCCTGCTGTGGCTGGTCACCTGCCTAATAGCTGTGACCATTAGTGCTAAGTGAGACCTGAGGCAAGTGAGGGATGTGAGATACAGAAGACAGATGTTAGGGCAGGGGCAGGCACTAGGGGGTTGTCAAGTCCTGGTTATTGTAGCTGACATTACTCCTACAGAGCTCTTAGGCTTCCCTGGTAACAGAGCTCTGAAATGCTAATAAGATATTACCCTCTTACTCCATATGAACCTTTTCTGTTAGAAGAAATAGGACTCTCAACCCAGATTTTGATCAGCTAATACAGCAATATTTCAAAGTCATTTATAGTTCTTTTGGATACTTTTAAGTTCTGTATAGATAATTATAATATGCCTGCTTACCTCCTGATGATGTGTTCTCTTTGTGGTAACTTTGTGTACACTTTAGACTTAGAGATAGTTTTCTTCTGTTAAAAAAATGGACCCTCATGTGTAGTATGGTATGCATTTGGAGGCACAGGTACTCAAAGCTAAGGGAAGGATCCCTTGGGACACTGACTCAAAGAAAAAAGCATTCAGATTTAAAGGGGAATTACTGGAGTCATGTCCCTGCACGTGCCTCTGCTGTCCATGGAGCGTCCAAACTTTGTCTGGCTCAGTGCCCCAGGGTGCCTGCAGTTCTCGGGAGGGAGACTAGATTAGTGCGTGTGACTCAGGCTTCAAACCAAAGTGAAGCCTTGAATAGGAAGATCTCCTGGAGCCCCATATTCTCCCCTAAGTGTAGATGTGGGTTGGCTTTTAGGGAGGGAAGTGGCCAGTCATCTTCCAGGGGCCTGGAATCCTGAGCCTGTCTACCTGTCTTGCCACACAGAAAGTTCTAAAAAACAGCTCTGCTGGCTCAATGCCTTCTATCCATTGGTGAGTGTTGTGTGGCCATTGCCTTAAGTCAGGTGAACCACTTGTCCTCTCATGGCTAGCAGAGAATGAATAGAACACAGGGCCTGGTGTGGTTGCACTCACCTGTGATCCTAGCATTTAGGAGGCAGAGGCAGAAGGGCCAACAGCTCCTGGCCAGGGGGAGAAGTGGCTCAGGTGTTAAAAGCTTGTGCTGTTCTTTTTAGAGTATTTGGGTTTGTTTCCCAGCACACCTGTCGGGCAGCTCACAACTACCTATAGCTACAGTTCCAAGGTGGCTCCAACTCCTTTGACCTCCATAAGCACCTTCATGTACACGAACATACCCTACAGAGACGCCCATACATACACATAAGTAAAAAGGAATAAAACTACAGATCTTTTTGTTTTAAATTCTAGGGGAGAAGTTTCAGGGCAACTTAGTCTACATAATGAGACCTTGTTTCCGAAATCAAGGAAGGGGAACTGGAGAGGTGGCTCGGGCTAAAAGTGTTCTGCTTATGCAGGGTACCCGGCTTTAGTTCCTATATGGCAGCTCACAGTGGTCTGTACTCCAGTCCCAGGGAGATTTGATGTTCTCTTGGCCTCCATGGGCTCTAGCATGTACAAAGTACACATAAACTTGGACAGACAGACACGTACACATACATAAGTCAATAAGCCTTTTTTTTTTTTTTTTTAAAGAAATTCTTACCCCCAAACTAAGGAAGAAGCTGGGGAGATGGCTCAGTTGTTAAGAGCTTGCCATGTACAAGTGGGCAGGAATTTAGGTCCACTGTGCATCAGCAGATGCCTGCAGGGCATGGTAGCCTCCCTGTAATTCCAGCCTTGGAAGGCAGAGATGTGAACACGCGCTCGCACACACACACACACAACACACACACACACACACACACACACACACACACACACCCCACGAAAAAAGAAAAATGAGGAAGGGAGGGGAGATTAATTTTTTTCTCATAGCTTTAAATTGTTTTAAAGTGCTGTATTTTAAAATGAAATACCAGCTGTGGTATCCGACCCTGTCCACACTGCCTTGGAGTATGGTTCACAAATGCAGGAGTTTATATTTTGAAAATGTGAGCAGAGTTAGGCAAAGCTACTCTAATCAGCTCATGTATGGGGTCTGTGGTCTTTCTGCTTAGAAACTGCTGGCTTGCTGCGCAGTGGTGGAACATGCCTTTAATTCTAGCACTAGGGAGGCAGAGGCAGGTGGATCTCTGAGTTTGAGGCAGCCTGGTGTACAGAGTGAGTTCCAGTACAGCCAGGACTATTTCACAGAGAAACCCTGTCTTGAAAAAACCCAAACCAAACCAAGCAAGAAAGCAAGCAAACAAACAAACAAAACCCCACCCCAAACTGCTGGCTTGTTTTTAGCCTCTTAATTAAGGTGAAAGTTTATACTGAGGTATTAATAAAATATATTTACTTTGCTAAGTTCTGTTTGAAGCTCTCAGCTGCTACTGTGTGAGATGCAGAGAGCTGACCACATATGTTATGTGTTACTCATGAAAACCCTGCACCAAAAAGTTGGAAAGATGAGTGAGTGAGTGGTCCAAGTGACTTTTTCCCCAATCACTGATATTATTAGAAAATATATATAGTTGCCAATAAAAATGACATCTTTGTATCATTCATTAAATGATTGCATTCAGTCGTTCTTTTCATTTTCACAGGGAGCAAGGAGATGGTTCGAGTGATGCGGAAGAAGGGCATTGAGCATCATCCCAATTTTCGTGCAGTCAAGCATGTCCCATTTGACCAGTTTATACAGCTGGTTGCCCATGCTGGTTGTATGATTGGCAATAGCAGCTGTGGAGTTCGAGAGGTTGGCGCTTTTGGAACACCTGTGATCAATCTGGGAACACGCCAGATCGGGAGAGAAACAGGTGTTTACCTTTGCCTATATCTCAGCTGAGTAGCATCTCTGTATCCATGTGATGGACTGGTCCTGATCACATTTTTAAAATTCATGTTTTTTTCATTTTTTGAGAACTTCACAGATGAGTACTGTACTTACATCATTTCTAACCTTCTTCCCCTCCCAACTCCTCCTGTTTCTCCCACTCCCTCTCAAGTTCATGACTTCTGATTTATTGTTTCACACACACATTGAGTCCATTTACTGTTGCTTGTGTGTTCAGGGCTGACCACTTGGGATCAGACAACCTATCAAGGAAAACTGATTCTCTTTATATACTTAGGTATATCTGGCCACATGTTTGTGAACATGTAGGTGAGTGAAGTGAATAACCAATTGTAGCTTAATATCTACAAATAACACAAACCACATTCGTAGCTCTATTTGCATTTTTATTGCTTTGTAAAATCAATTAGAACCAGATGGTTCTAATTATGGTCTTTGGTTCTGATTAAGAGAGACCATAGTTGAATGTGTCTTGAGTGTATGAATGATAGTCTGCATTCAGAGCCTGGTGAGTGTCCTTTCAGTGACAGCCCTAAGTAATGAAAGTGTAAGTAGATTTATTAATGCATATGCTAACTGATCTATGTGTGTTATTATCATTCATTAGTCAGGCTCTAATGCTGTATATGTGCAAATATGTATCTGTAGCTAATGGGGAAGTGAATGTCATTAATGGAAAAAGAATTGGACTAGAACTAAGGATATTAGTTCCAGCTCTGCTGTTTCTTCGTTCTTTTCCATCGCCACCCTATGATTCCATTGTCTTTACGTCATTCCAAGAACATTGCTTTGCTTCCTGTTTTTTATAGGGAAAATAGAAGTGCAGGATGGAAATTCTTTCAGATCTGTTAAGAAAATACAGGGGGCTGGAGAGATGGCTCAGAGGTTAGGAGCACTGGCTGCTCTTCCAGAGGACTGGGGTTCAATTCCCAGCACCCACACACACAGCAGCTCACACCTGTCTGTAACGCCAGTTCCAGGGCTTCCAACACCTTCACACCAATGCACATAAACTAAAAAATAAAAGAAAGAAAGGAAGAAAGAAAGAGAGAGAGAGAGAGGGAAAGCACTTAGATGTATAAGGCACTGGGATATGGCAGATCAGACTAAGGAGCTAAGGACACAGCGCAGTTGGTAGAGTGCTCCCAGCATGCCTGAAGCCCTGGATTTGGTCCCCAGCACTGAGGCATGCTGGTGCATACCTGTAATCCTAGAACTCAGAAAAGGGATCAGAAATTCAGAAGTTCAAGGTGTCCTTGGCTATATAGCAAGTTCGAATCCAGCCTATGCTATGTGAAACCCTGCCTTTGCAGAAGCAATCGAAAGAGTTCTCAGTGTCTCATGGTGAGAGAAAAGCTTTAGAAAAAGGAGTGAGGAAGCCCAAATTACCAGAAGAAAGGTGCTTTGGCTCTAGCTAGCATCCAAAAGAAACAGAAAAGGAGGAAAAGGGAAACATGCTTTTCTGAATCAGAACTCAGAAGGACCGGCAGCCCCAACATAACTTCATGGCAATTTGTAGGGACTGCCAAGTACTGAGCTCTTGTATAATTGACACTTTAGTGGGGTAGGGAAGATAAATAAGCAGCCCAAAAGGAAGATAATAGGATCTCTAGGTGCCATGTAGACTGTAATGCAGGGTAATGGGGTGGGCTACATTAAATGCGAAGAAAGACCTCTTTAAAAGGTGGCACTTGGAGCTGAGATCAGGCAGAAGCAGATGAGCCACCCATGCCAAGGATGTAGGGTACAATCAATCTTGATAGTGGGGAAACAGAAGGGCCAGCCTGATCGTAAACTATTAGCTAAGAAGCAGACCAGAGCCAGGTGGAGTGGCACACCCCTTTACTGCCAACACTTGGAAGCAGAGACAGGAGGATTGCTGTGAGCTGAGACCCAGCTTAGTCTACATAGCAAACTCCAGGACCCCCAGGGCTACATGGAGGGACTCTTTTCCTCCACCCCCAAAATGAGAGGTACCCCCCCACAGGGTCTCTTTATGGAGCACTGACTTTCAGACTGTGTAGACCAGGCTGGCCTCAAATTCAGTAATCCACCTGCTTCTGTCTCCTAAGTGCTGGGATTAAAGGCATGAGCTACCACCCCAACTGAGACAGACTTTTATAAGTTAAAATGTTGATGTTTTAGTTTGCTTTCTTTTGCAAACTTGGGGGAGGACAGGGTTGATTTCTTCTTACAGCTTATAGTTTACCATGAAGAGAAGCTGGGCAGGAATCTGGAGTCAGGAACCGAAGCAGAGGCCATGAGGAAAACTACTTGCTCTTCATGGCTTGTTCAGAGTGCTTTCTTGTATATACACCCTAGGACCTCCTGCCCAAGGGGGGGAACCTCAATTAAGAAAATGTGTCCACAAGATCAGCTATAGGTGAGCCTGCAGGACATTTTCTTAATTAGTGATCAATGGGGGAGGGCCCAGGCCACTGTGGGTGGTACCATGCCTGGGTAGGTGGTTCTGGGTTCTATAAGAAGCAGGCTGAGTAAGCTGTGGAAGCAAGCCAGTAAGCAGCTCCCTCCATGGCCTCTGCACCAGCTCCTGCTTCAGACAGATTTCTGCCCTGTTTGCATTCCTGTCCTGACTTCTTTTGTGATGTGGGAGCCTAAGCTGAATAAATGCTTTCTTCCTTGGTGTTTCATCATAGCAGTAGTAACCCAGAGAAAGACAGTGGGTATTACACATAGAGAAGTTACATCTGGACTGTGTCACCAAGCTTACTAGTGCCTGCGAGCAGCAAATGGAGGAAGAGAGGCAATGGCAATGCTTAGACCGTACTCTCATGACATGGGGACACTGAAGAAAATCAGACTGGGGAAGGAATGGAAGAGTTTTCTTGTTGCCATGTTCAGTTGATGCCAGTTAAACATCAAAGCGGAGAAGACAAGGAGCTGGACTGTGTCAGGGACTTAAAGATGGAGATAAATTTGAGAATTGGTGGTTACAGATGGTGTGTAATGGGACATCGGTTCACTTGCTGTAACAGAGACCCCTAAATAGCAGGAAGCTAGATTTTTTTTTCTTCATATCAGATTCCTAGTTAAAACTTCCATAGCTAGTACTACAAAAAAAAAAAAAAAAAAAAAAAAAAAGAGCATAATAGCCCTGTGCTAAACAAGGTATTTAAAACCAAGGGCCTACTAATGACATTACCCAGGGAGAATATCTAAATAGGACAGAAAAATGTAGTCCAAGACCAACCTGGAAACTGTTCAACAATGAAATAGAGGGCAGAAAAGAAAACAGAAAAGGAAATTTCAGTGATGTCATAGGAAAGCCAGAAACTTTTATCATTAGAATCCAGAAGGAAACAACTTCCAGGAGATGCTGTTGAAAGCTGCTGTGTGCCAAAATAAGAGGTGAAAGGAACTAGGCATTATGGCACAGGCCTGGTGACATGTGCCTGTAGTCCCAGAACTCTGGAGATGGATTTGGCAGTGTGGTCTGTACTTCCCTGTCACCGTGCTTACATAAATGTAGGTGCCGCATCAGGACCCTCTTCCTTCTAACCTCCCGTGCAGCCAGGGACCACGGAGATGAATGTGTTTCCTGCATATCTACTGCTCATCATCTTACCTACACTCAAAATCACTATTCCTCCTGCCTCTTCTGGGACCTCTGCCCTCCCCCAATCAACCCTTCTCTTCTGTGTGTATTTAATGTCACACATGCTTGGACTCTCCTATCTGGGGAAGGCTCTCTCCCTTGGCCCCTTATTTCTCTCCAGTCTCCTCTCTTCTACTCCTCCCAGTAAAACTTGTTGGAAAGCTGTCTGTTCATGTTTACTCTCTCACACCAGCCAAGAGAAAATGTCTGCCCTGCAGCTGGCCTGTCTGGCTGCTGACTGAATGACTGCCTAGTTGAGAATGGGCTTGGCAAACAGTCTATGTTAGATTAATTCACCCTATCCAGGTGTGGTGGCAGACACCTGTAATCTTATCACTTAGGGGAGACTCGGGAAGTGCCACAGGTTAGAAGTCAGCCAGGTCAACATAGTGAGACCGTATCTCTTAAACCAAAACCATGCAAACATTCGTCTGTCTGATTCATTAAGAGAACTTATGTGCTGTAAGAAGTCTTATCAGGGGTACATTTAGTCAGCAGGGTTTCAGGACTCAGTTATGAATCTGACACACTGCTATTTGTTTTTCTTTGGACAGTCACACTTCAAGTCATTCTAACATGTCTGTGGATTTATTTAGGGGAGAATGTTCTTCATGTGCGGGATGCTGATACCCAAGATAAAATATTACAAGCGCTCCACCTTCAGTTTGGTAAACAGTACCCCTGGTGAGTATACATCCTTTCATTTTGGAGTAGGTAAAAGGGAAGCTACCTCAGGCACCAAGAGAAGCTTGGCCCATCACTATCATCATTTAACCATCTTAATAGGGAAGGCAAGGATGTCACACCCCTCAGTGCTCTGCCTAGGTTCCAGTGGAGAAGTTATGAAGTGAGGGGCCTTTCTCCAAAGAGGAGAGCTAAACATGTTTGATGAAGAAGTTTTAAAGTTGATGAGAAATTTTAAAATTTGTCTCTTTAATTACAATGGTACTACTCCTACAGTATGTTTGTTTCTCTGGTATAATTTGACTACATATTAGAAAATAATGTATCTGATTTTCCTTAAAACTTAATTTTGGCTATTCTCCCTTCTATTTCAATATGGTGATTTCTCAGAAATGTAAAGAAAAAACTTCTAAAATAGCAAAAACCCAAACCAAGACAGAAAATCCCAAATTCAGGTACTAAGTTACAAAGTTGTTAAAAGGTCTAGATCATTAGTTCTATGTAATTGTGATTTATGGGGTTGTGGCTGTTTTGGTGTGTGTGTGTGTGTGTGTGTGTGTGTGTGTGTGTCTGTGTCTGTGTGTGTTGAGACAGAATCTCTCTATTGTGTAGCCCTGACTGTCCTAGAACTCACAGAACTCACTCTGTAAGTCAGGCTGGCCTCAAACTCAGACAGATCCCTCTGCCCCTACCTCCCAAGTGCTGGGATTAAAGTATGTCACCATGCCTGGCTGTAGCTTTTGGGTTTTTTTGTTTAGTTTTTTTAATTTTTTGACATAAAATAAATATATAGTGGGATTTATCATGTATATTACATTTTAGCACATACACACTGGATATGTTTTATTTTGTGTATGTGTGTGGTACAAGAGACTGAAGTCAGAGCCTCATGCATGCCAGGCAAGTGCTCTGCCACAGCTACCAGTCCTCTAGCCCAGAGAGGTTATTTTAAAAGTACAAAGTATTTCTACCTGAAGACTGCAGTTTCAGTGCCCTTGGTATCATCTGCCATGTATGGCAATAGCATATTACTGAACTGACTTTTTTGATGTTGCAGCTCAAAGATATATGGGGATGGAAATGCTGTTCCAAGGATTTTAAAGTTTCTCAAATCTATTGACCTCCAAGAGCCACTTCAGAAGAAATTCTGCTTCCCTCCTGTGAAGGAGAACATCTCTCAAGATATTGACCATATTCTTGAAACCCTGAGTGCCTTGGCTGTTGATCTTGGGGGAACAAATCTCAGAGTGGCGATAGTTAGCATGAAGGTACAGTCACCACAGAGCACTGACTTTACATCTCACATGAGTAGCTGATTTTTTTTTTTTTTTTTAAACAGGCTTGGCTGTCCTGGAACTCTCTTTGAAGACCAGGCTGGCCTCAATTTCATAGAGATCCACCTGCCTTTGCCTCCAGAGTTCTGGTATTAAAGGTGTGCACCACCTTGCCCTGCTGAGTGATTGTTTTGTTTTGTTTTTTTTTTTTAATGTGTAAGTAGAAGGTAGAACTAGAAAACGCAAAAGGGAGTTTGTCATCATTTTCCCATAGTGCTGAGTTTTGGATCCATTACAATGTTTGTCTCATATCTACTGGTTGTTAAAATTTCAAGCTGGTGTGGTAGCTAATGTTCATAATCACAGGACTTGGGAGGCTGAGGCAGGAGAATTCCTGCAAGTTTGAGGCCAGCCTGGACCACAGCATGAGACTCGTTGTCTCAAAAACCAAAAATATAACATTAGGGAATCCAGTGTGTTAAGTCTTGAGTTGGCAATGGGGAAACCCCTTTAGACATGAGAGAGGGCTTTGCCACTCAGGACAGAAATTCTGTTGTTGAGGACACAAGGAGTGGAATCCAATGGTCAGTTCCCCACCTAGATGAGAGTGCCTAGATGAGAGGTGAAGAAATGGGTCTCTTCTAGAGCATGGTCGGCTATGCGCTCCTCCACTTTGCATTTCCACAAGCCTGATCTTCAGAGTACCACATCTACCTTCCCTCTGCTAGCCATAAGTTATGATAAGCATTGGGATTGGTTGTTTGTTTTTGTGACACAGGGTTTCCCTGTGTAGCAGTGGCTGTAATGGAACTCGATCTGCAGATCAGGCTGGGCTCAAACTCAGAGATCTGCCTCCCAAGTGCTGGGATTAAAGGCATGTGCCACCACTGCCAGGCTTGGGATTTCTTAATAACAATATTCTGAAACAAAATAATTCAGAGTTGAGGTGAGTAAATAACAAAACAAAACCCCAAAACAACAACAAACTCTAGAATACTAAGAATAATTAAGAAGGACTATCTCTGTTTTGTATTAAGTCACAGTATACTGTACAGTGCTCTTTCTATGCACAGTATAGTGATTTGCCAGTCCACACATAAATTTGTTATACTATTACTGACTTAGATGACCAAAATGCAAATAATAGGGTAACCATTTAGTTGTCTCAGTATTGAAATTAGATAATTCTATTAACCTGAAAAGAGGAAGTATGACCCTTTAATGAACTATTGCCCATTGTTGGCTACAAGCCTAATAGAGTCTTCCTTGATGGCTGTGGAGTTGTCATTGTTCCAGCAACTTGTGTTGGGGTGGATTCCCAGGAAATCACTTAGGCTTATGTCAGGGACAGTCTCCACTGACTGTCCCTGGAAAGGCTAACTAACTTTCACAGAATGAGCATGCTCCTTAGCTACCGCCACTGAGACAGACTTGTGTTCTGCTTTTCTCTCCCCTCCTTTTAGGGTGAAATAGTTAAGAAGTACACTCAGTTCAATCCGAAAACCTATGAAGAGAGGATTAGTTTAATCCTGCAGATGTGTGTGGAAGCTGCAGCAGAGGCTGTGAAACTCAACTGCAGAATTCTGGGAGTAGGTGAGACTTTAAATTACAGATCCCAAGAAATGCTCCTGTCAGTGCTCACTGTTCATCTAGTTCTTACACTGTGCCCCAGGCCAGTGTCTGCCTGTGACTAGGTTCCAGGTTTTACTTGGACCCCAAGCATGCCTCATGCCAGCAAGCACTGGGAGAAGCACGAGTGGTTCTATTGGTCTTTGGGCAATAGTTCATTAAAGGGTCATAATGCAGTCCTTGGTAATTTGCAAGGAGATGATGGGTGAATTGATTTATGTTTGGAGCCAAGAAAACTGGCAGGCTTTTCTAAAATGGGTAATCAAAATTGTCTTCCCTGTTTGGGGTGGAGCTCAGGCATTTCCACAGGTGGCCGTGTGAATCCCCAGGAAGGAATTGTGCTGCATTCAACCAAACTGATACAGGAATGGAACTCTGTGGACCTCAGAACACCCCTCTCTGACACCTTACATCTCCCTGTGTGGGTGGACAATGATGGCAACTGTGCTGCCATGGCAGAAAGGAAGTTTGGCCAAGGAAAAGGACAAGAAAACTTTGTGACACTCATCACAGGGACAGGTGAGAAGGGAAGAACTTCAGAACTGGCTCCAGCCCCCAGTGATGCACCGACAGCCATGCCTTCCTCCACCTTGCAGTGGAAGTAGACCACTAAGGTGATGCACACAGCTAGGTCAGGGCCCCCTCAGCCCTTTTATGAGCGGGTAGTTCAGTGGTAAGAGCATGTGTCCACCACATGTGAATCCCTGAGTTTTGACCCCAGTATTACCAAGAAGAAAGAGAATAAAGAATTTTAGCCAGGCATGGTGGCTTATACCTGAAATCCCAGCGCTTGAGAAGCAGAGGCAGGAGAATTGCTGCAAATTTCCAGGTTAACCAGGGCTATAGAGCTTTCAAATTCTGTATTATTCCGCTTTCCTTTTAGGCGTCTTGGTTGAAAAGGATCTCATGTAGTCCAGGCTGGCCTTGAATACTTGAGCCTCCTGCCTCAGCCTTCCAAACTCTGGGGTACAAATGGCTTACCATCGCACCTGACTAAGCTTGTGTTTTCTTCATTCAAGTCCTCTTTTTATGTTGAACAGTTTTTTAAAAAATCTGGATACCATTTTTTAGCTCAGAGCAGTCAGTGAGCTATGGTGGGAAGGAGAAGAATTGAGGAGTAAGTGCCAAAAGTAAGTAATAAATGGAGGTTGGAGACATGGTTCAGCAGTTAAGAGTATTGGCTGCTCTTCCAGAGGACCCAGGTTTGATTCCCATAACCACACAGTGGCTCATAACCATCTGTAACTCCAGTTCCAGGCACTCTCTGGTCTCTGCAGGTACCAGGCACATATGTGCTGCCCATACACATGAAATTTAAAGTTAAAAAAGTAATAAATGGCAAGACAGCTCTTAAAAATGGAGGCTTCTAAGGTAAAATGGCCTTTAACCTTAGCGAGAGAGTTAGTACACTAGCACTCCATGATAAGACAGTCATTTGTTTTTGCTATTTCAGATAGATTTCCAGACGTGGCCTCATTCATATTCTACCTTCTGTGCTTCTGGAAGCAAGCCCTGTAACACAACTAGACAGACTGTCTTATCTTGCTATCCCTTGAAGCACAGCTTGCACAAGGATGCAGGTGTGGGCCTTTTCGTGTGGAGGTGGCCCTGAGAAGCAGGGGGGAGGTGGTGGAAATGGGGTGACGCCACTTAGGGTGTACTGTCCAAGTCCCATCAAGGCAGGAAGGCTGAGATCTCCCAGAACACCGAAGAAACTTCCCACAGCACTGTCTGGAGTTGTCTGCTTCCCACTGGCTCCCGTCTCATCTGGGGACCAGTCTGCCAGCTCATGGCCTCTCAGTTCAGTGCACAGAGTAGGCAGTGTGTGCTTGAGGGACCACCCACCACCACAATGTGGGCCAGGTGCCACAGCTGGCCTGAAGTCATAAACCTCCAGATGGGAAACAAGACATCTGGTTCGCAGCAGCTGCTTCCTTCCGAAGCGGCACTGAAGTCTCAGTCCTTAGTGAGCCTCAGCCATCTAGAGAAGTGGGCATTTTATAAACACCCAAAAGCTTAGCTAAACAGATGGGGGATTGCCACAGTCTAGCTTTGTTTCAGGTAGTGCCACACAGAGCCTTGTCTCTCACTGCAGGGATTGGTGGCGGGATCATCCACCAGCATGAGCTGATCCATGGCAGCTCCTTCTGTGCGGCAGAGCTTGGCCACCTCGTGGTGTCTCTGGATGGGCCTGACTGCTCCTGTGGGAGCCACGGCTGTATTGAAGCATACGCCTCTGGGATGGCCTTGCAGAGGGAAGCAAAGAAGCTCCACGATGGTTCGTACCTGTCCCCTTCACTAGTGACTAACCAAACGCACAAGTGCTTGGGAGCCATGATTTTGCCCTGACTCTACATTGTCCTCAGCTAGGGCACCCTTGGTCCTGGGCAGAGGCACACAGCTGGGCAGAGAGGCACAAAGGGCCACAGCTCTGAGACAGCAGGGAAACCTTCTTTCGGTTTTGTTTCTCGGGCATTAGATGGCACAGGGCCCAACTCCATTTACAGCAGACTTGTTACAGCTTTAGTGTGCCAAATGCGCTAAGAACAATGGCTGTACAGAGGACGCCTGAGTCCCTTTCCTGCCCTCCATACAGGGAAAGGAGGAATGTTGGGCACCATCCTGGGAGCTGAGCATTAGAGAATATGTGAATCAGGAAGGCAAGTCTGATGCCAAAGGCAGTCTTCGAGGGTGGAGACAGAGGTACCCGAGTACATGGCCCAGTGTGTAAGGAGGATCCTTGGGTCAGAGGAACCACTGAATTCCTTCAGGGAAGTCTGATCTGAAGTTCAGATTCTTCAGTGGAACATACCCTTTTGATTTGCTGTTGTTTTTCAAGACAGGGTCTCTGTATAGTCCTGGCTGTCCTGGAACTTTCTGTACATCAGGCTGGCCTTGAACTCAGAGACCCACTGCCTCTGTCTCCCAAGTGTTGGGATTAAAGGTGTGTGTACCACCGCTGGCCAATGTCTTGATTTCTGAGAGGAAAATGGTAGTTGAATAGGGGATTAAGTAGGGTAGTTATAGAGTGACTTTTATTTTTCTGATTGGACCTCTAGGAGTTGGGAATATTAAGAGAAACGGGGGGTAGGCGGCAGGTGACCGTGGGGTGCTGTGGGTTACCCACGTGCAAATGCTTAGGAGGCAGGTGATTCAGTGAGGGTTACAGGGACTGAGGCACTAGAGGGTCAAGGGTCAACCTTTGAGTGTGGGGTGGGGCACAAGGGAAGGTGGTTCAGAGAGGATGTGTCAGGCTGCAGGGGAAGTATGAAGTCAGAAGTCTGTTGGCTTTGGAGCCTTGTTTTCATTATCAACTTCCTGATGAACCTTTCCCCCCCAGTCACTCCTTGCTGTGATATTTTCACACCCCAGACACAATGTCTGTCTATGTTGTGTTTTGTACAGAAAAGAGTAAGATTTAACCACGTCAGAATCGTCTGTGATCACATGTAGGAGAGACAGAGAGCGAATGGGAGTGAAGTCTTTGGGAATGTGGGAAGAGAAGAGTTACAAAGTAGCTAGAGGATCAAGAGCGGGAAGGAGGGAAGATGTGCAGGTGTGTGCCTCGTCTGAGAGGTGTGTGGGAGCTGGTGGGAAACGGGATTCAGCTGGTAACTGAGGCCCAGCCAGCACAGCACGAGGCTCTGCTCTTCAAAGGACCTGGGTTCAATTCCCAACACCCACATGGTCACCTACAACTGTCTGTAACCCCAATCCTAAGTGATCTGACACCCTCACACCAGTGCACATAAAATAAAATAATTAAGAAAAAACTTGATACTTTCAGGCTTCAGTCTGACTAGTCATCCCTGATACTCGGGGCCCACAGCAGCACAATGCGTCATGGCAGGAGTGCATGGCAGAGGCTTGTTCACTCCCTGGACAGGAGGAGCGGGGAGGTGGTAGGGCTGCGGAGGCAGTGTCTGCGTGACTTCCCTTACCCAAGCACGGCAGTTCCTGGCTGACAGGAAGACAAGGGCTACAGAGAGCAGCAGAATGTCCACTGCTGGGGCTGCAGGATGGATGGCTCAGTCAGTAGAGTGGCCACCTCACAGCATGAGGACTTCATTAGGACGCTGAGCACCTACATCAAACCAGACAGTCTAGACAGAGTGGTGAATTGCAGGTTCCATGAGAGACCGTGACACAGTAGGTAAGGTGGAGAGGGGTTAAGGAACCCAAGTCCACTTCAGACCTACACACACACACACACACACACACACACACACACACCTCCCTGTACACACACACACATACACACACCTCCCTGTACACACACACCCCTCACTGTACACACACACACATACACACACACACACACACACACCCCTCCCTGCACACACACATACACACACTCACACACACCTCCCTGCACACACACACAGAGATACATACACACCCTCATGGACACATGTACATACCTAAACAAGCACATACAGCACTCACACAAAAAAACATCTACTGTTTATTTAGCACTTAGTCTAGCCAGCTTTGTACCCAATCCATGTCCATTGTCTATATTTAATACCCAAAATAATTCTAGGTATTATCCTAGTCTTCTAGAAAAGAGAAATCTATAGAAATGAAATGGCGAGGGCTGGCCTGGGCAGCCAGTAGAGACAGCTGGAACAGATCTGAGCTGGTACTAGCCAGGCCTGTCGCTCTGTCCTCTGAGCCTTGTTGGTACCTTGTAAACCACTTCAGAGCTGTGGTGAGGAATGCAGCATTGTGTCTGTGAATGAGGGTGGAGATGAGAGGGAAGAGCGGCACAGGCAGAATAACGAGGGTCTAATATTGCAAGTGAGAAGTGAGGGAAGTGGCAGGCAGAGAGGCTAGATTCAGATCTCAGTCTTCCAAGTAGGTACACTCAGACTTGATAGTCAAAGAGTACAAAGGCTTTGGGGCAATGTATGGGTGTTTGCTAGTGATAAATAGCTCTGCCTTGTAAAAAGAAACATCTCTGGAGAGCTTGCTGCCAGTGGGCACGGGTGTGGCTGCGTGGGCCGGTGTAACGGCTGCGTGGCTGCATGGGCGGGTGTACGGCTGCAGTGGCTGCGTGGGCCGGGTGTACGGCTGCGTGGCTGCGTGGGCCGGGTGTAACGGCTGCAGAGGCTAGATTCAGGTCGGCTCAGTGGCTTTCAAGTAGGCACACTGTCACGGCTTGATAGTCAAAGTGGCAAAGGGCTTTGGGGCAATGTATGGGTGTTTGCTAGTGATAAATAGCTCTGCCTTGTAAAAAGAAACATCTCTGGAGAGCTTGCTGCCAGTGGGCACGGGTGTAACGGCTGCAGTGGCTGCAGTGGGCACGGGTGTAACGGCTGCAGTGGCTGCAGTGGGCACGGGTGTAACGGCTGCAGTGGGCACAGCCTTCCTCAGGGCTGCTCACTCCTCATTAATGACGGCTCCTCCTGTTCCTTCAGAGGATCTGCTCTTGGTGGAAGGGATGTCAGTGCCAAAAGACGAACCTGTGGGTGCCCTCCATCTCATCCAGGCCGCCAAGCTTGGCAACGTGAAGGCCCAGAGCATCCTACGAACAGGTGAGCCTGTGGTCCCAGACTCCCAGGGCTCCTACAGAGAGCCTCGGTTTCCCGAAGGTGCAGTGCTCTGCACTGTGCACTCAGAGGCACTTTTCCTACTGACAGAAAAGGGAAACCTGTTGAAGGTGCCTTAAATGTGTTTTGATTCTTGTTTTATACTGAAAATACTTGTTCACTTTATAGGTATTTAGAGAAGTGTAGGATAGTAGTAAGAAAAGCTATCTTGAGTTTTACCACTCAGAATCACCTACTATTAGAATGTCTTTCCAGTCTGTCTGTTCTTGGAATGTTTACATAATTAAGACTACATCTTACAGTTTACATAAAGTTTTGTTTACCTATATTTGTGGTGCTAGAATGAGCACAGGGCTGTGTCCATTCTGGCAGGCACTCTGCCACTAAGCTAGACCCCATTCCTCCTCTTTTTCTCAGATGTCATCTTACTTTGTTGTCTATGCTGACACCAAGAAAGGAAGGAAGGAAGGGAGGAAGGAAGGAAGGAAGGAGCTGAGTGGCCTAGGGAAGACAGAACATCAGCTCTAGATATCTAGGTAGCAGCTTGCATGACTAAGTGAATTCAAGACCAGCCTAGGCTGCAGAATGAGATCCTGTCTCAAAAAGAGTAAGTCATAGCACTTTCCTGGAGGCCTCTTTTCAGGAGGCTGAGGTAGGAAAATTGCTTGATCCCAGGAGTTCTGAGCCATGTAGCAAGACTCTTGTCTCAAAACAAAGGCCAGCTCAAAGCTTCTATTCAAGTACTTGGGAGCTGAGGCAGGAAGGTTGGTGAGAGGCGGAAGGCAGCCTGGACTACACAATAAGAGTGTCTCTAAACAGAAAACAAAAAGATGTAAGAAAGAGGAAGTCACGAACAGCTTTGTTTTGGTTTTTGATTTTTGAGACAGAGTCTCTCTATGGAATTCATAGAGATCAGGCTGGCCTACTCACAGAGATCCACCTGCCTCTGTCTCCTGAGTGGCAGGACTAAAGCTGTATACCACCACACCCAGCCTTCATGGACAGCTTTTAAACATAGCACTTGCCAGTGTCTGGTTTAGCATTTTCCTGGCAACTTTTCTGCTCTTTGCTCTCCTCCAGCTGGAACTGCTTTGGGACTTGGGGTTGTGAACATACTCCACACTATGAATCCTTCCCTGGTGATCCTGTCTGGAGTTCTGGCCAGTCACTACATCCACATCGTCAAGGATGTCATCCGCCAGCAAGCCTTGTCCTCCGTGCAGGATGTGGACGTCGTGGTTTCAGACTTGGTTGACCCTGCCCTGCTTGGTGCTGCCAGCATGGTTCTGGACTACACAACCCGCAGGATCCACTAGGCTCCTGGGAGTGGACATGGACTGAGACCCAAGAGCTACTTAGATCAGTACTTCAGAGGCAAATTTGGGGGGCTGCTGAGATGGCTCAGTGGTTAAGAGCCTGAACTGCTCTTGCAGAATAAAACCCCAGTTTAGTTCCCAGCACTCATGTCAGGCAGCTCAACCGCCTGAAAGCCAAGCTCCAGCGGATCCTATGCCTAAGCCGCCTAGGGCATCTGCACTCAAATGTACATAGCCCTCCCCCCTGAACACATTGAACACATAATTAAAAATAAATCTTATTTTTTAAAAGGCAAAATTGATATTTAATCTCCAGTAACACCAGTAGGAGTATCTTTGCTTTTTGTCTTCCCTTCTGTATTGTCAGGGTTCTCTAGATAGAATGACTGATAGTATGAATTTCTCTCTATATAAAGGGGATTACCAGAATAGCCCACAGACTGAGGTCCAGCCAGCCCAACAAGTGTCTGACTCCCAAGGGAAGGAAATCCAGTAGTTCAGTCCATGAGGCTGGATGTCTCAGCTAGTCTTAGTACACATCAAAGCTGTGAAGTAGCCTCCAGTACCAGTGAATGGAGTGAGGGAAACCAGGCAAAAAGCAATCACTTCCTTCTTCCATGTCCTTTATATAGGCTGTCACCAGAAAGTGTGGCCTAGATTAAAGTGGCTCATTCTACTTCAAATGGTTTAATTAAAAATCCCTCCCAGGTGTACCTAGCCTCTTGGGTTTTAGTTAATTCCAGGTGTAATCAAGTTCACAACCAAGAATAGCATCACACCTTCCAAATACACCTTTCCCATGAGCCTTTGCAGAGGCTGTGCTGATGGGTTCATCATTATGCAAATGCTGTGGGTTCCAGAGACACTTCCTGCATCCAAGGAGCAATGACAACTGACCCTGAAGCCTTAGGACTCCTTGTAGACCTTGGAATGCTAGCATCATGGGAAGGTTTGGATTAACAGTCCTTCCTCAGACCACAGAAAGAGATCTTGTCACACAATGAAGAAAAGCTCACCTGGAAATACATTTCACAGCCTTTTCCATAGGCATACTCTTGTGAAACAGCTACCAGAGTCAAGGGGCTGGGCAGTTAGATACGTCACACCCCGTGTCCACTGAAAGATGATTTGCTTCAGAGGATTTTTGTTTGTTTTTCAAGACAGGGTTTCTCTGTATAGCCCTGACAATCCTGGAACTCATAGAGATCCTCCCCGTCTCTGCCTCCCAAGTACCAGGATTAAAGGTGAGCACCACAGCCTGGCTACCCTGAAGTTTATGGGAATTTAGACTGGGGTCCAAATCATGGTGGCCTTAGTGACTGTCTTATCATTCCAGAGAAAGCAAGCAGGACTAGAAGTGCCTTTGCTTCTAAGCAGCAGATCCTCCCGCCTCTTCTGCTTTTTGATATTCCATGACCCAGAATGTCAGTGCTTGTGTCTGTCCTGAAGCTCAGAGCCACAAATCTGGAGACTGACTAAATTAGAATCTGTGCTTTCTCTCTCTCTCTCTCTCTCTCTCTCTCTCTGTGTGTGTGTGTGTGTGTGTGTGTGTGTGTGTGTGTGTGTTTTGAGACAGAATCTCATTTGTCTCACCCCGAACCTTGGCTCATCTTGAACTCAGGACAATCCTCCTGCTGCAGCTTCCAGAGTGCTGAGATTATAGACACCCAGCTTAAAATATGCTCTTTCATTGATGACAAAAGGCTAACAAGTGCCACTGTATTAGTTACTTTCTCCTGTGCTAACACTGTGACCTCAGCAACTTACAGAAGGAAGTTTCATTTGGCTTACAGTTCTAGAGAGAGAGAATCCATGCAGGGAAGGCACAGCTACAGGAGGCCAGGGCAGAGAACTTGAGAAATTGTATTGTCAAGTACAAGCAAAAAGCAAGGTAAATGAACTGAAAGTCAGGGAAGGCTATGCACTCAAAACATCGTCCCCCATCTCCCAGGGACACTTCTAGCAAGCACCACTCAAACAGCACCAACTCAAGCATATGGAGGACATTCTCAAACGACCACATCCACTCCCCAACTCCCATAAACACATGGACACCACAAGTCAAAGTGCAGTTAGCCCACTGTTAAAGTCCCGTAGTCTGTGACAGTCTCAGCACCATTCAAACGTCCTAAGTGTCTCCTGAGATACAAGGGAATCTCTCAACTACAACCCACAATGGCAGGATATACACTCCCCTTCCAAAGGCGGCAACTGGGGCACAGGAATAGGGACGCAGTGAGGGACGGGGCACAGCAAGGAAGAGACAGGGAGGAGTACAGGCACAATGAGAACTCTGGACATAAAAACGCCAAACTCAACAAGACTCTAGGTCCTGCAGCTTCATGTCTGGACCTGATGGCCACATCAGGGTCAGAGGGCTTGAGATAACTCAGTCCCTCCAGCTTTGCTGTCTTTCTTGGGCTACTTATGTGAAAGGGTTAGATGGTTGACCCTGAGGACTTTTCCAGTCCTCAAGTCAATGGTTCTTCAACCTTCCTAATGCTGCCACCCTGACACAGGTGACCCCTAATCATAAAATTAATTCCTTGCTACTTCATAACTAATTATGAATTATAATGTAAATATCTGATATGCAGGATATCTGATATGCAACCCCCATGAAAGGGTAATGTGACCCACAGGTGACCTGCTGCCTTACATCATCATCATCATCTGGGGCAGAGCCTGGCTAAATCCATAATACTGCACACCAAACAGCGCCACTGCTACCAAGTTCTAGGCTAACTGAAAGCCAATTTTAGTTTTAGTCAAATTTCCTGACATAAATTATTATATATGGTTTAATTACATCTTAAAATATTTTGTCTCAATTCTAAACCTTATTAAAAGAAAAAACATATTTCCTTGTCCAAGTCTTAACACCATTATAATATGCTATTTTTCTTTAACTCAGCTGAAAACATTACTCTTCCCAGAGGAGATTTGTATTTGTTGCCTTGCTTTCCTTTTAGCATTAGGTAATAATTTATGGTATCAAGTACCGCTGCTTTAACCAAGGGGGGAAGCTATTAATAGAAAGCATTATTAAGCTTGCACTTAGTATTTGACAAAGAAAAGGTAGCCTAAGAAGGAAGCTCAATACTAAATGTTGAACACTCACGGACACGCTGGACCAATTATTCCCCCCCCCCCCAGTCCTGGGATTAAAGGCCAGCCTAGTCCCTCCCGTTTTCTCCTCTTATGAAGCTACATGTGGTTAAATAAGAATTGTAAATGCTGTGTAACCAAAGAAAGAGGTAAAGGATTCCAAGCAACAGTAACCCCATCATTGATGTCTGTGGGTCAGCACTGCTCCTCCTTATGGGTCTCCTAGGTAGTCTCCAGAACTTGGGTTTCCTGGCTGTATGGTGGCTCAGGGTTACCAGGTAGAGAATTTGAACACGTCAACCATAAACTGTGTTGCTCTTTACGACCTAGCCTTGGAACTCACACGCCATCACTTCTGTCCTCTAATTTTTCATCTAGGATCATGGGAGTTCAGGGGGGAAGAGTAAGGCATTATGGAGGGACCTTTAAATTGGTTAAGTTGGACCCCGTCTCAAGAGGTCAAAGAGGGCTGTTGATGGGGCTGTGGTAGCATGACCCCAGGTTCACTCTCCAGAAGTTAAGGAGGGGTGGCTACGCAGTGGCTGTGCCCTCAGCCCAGAAGTAATTGAGAATCGCTCACCCCTTTAAGCCTGCCCCCAAGCTGCAGCACCATTTTTCCATCAATAAAGATGCTTCATGTATATTGTTTGAAACAGAAATTTATTCTCAGAATAATGCACAAAAGCACAGGTTGAGGCTACTGTTGGGAGCATCCCTCCCTTCCTCCTCCCCTCTCTTCTCTGAATGCCAGGGAGAACACAGTTGAAGGAAACATGCAATCACAAACAATGATCAACTCTAAAGACAAAAGGTTTGGTCCAAAAGAACTCAACATAATTAATCCAATTACGTGAACAGCTTCACTGAGTAGGATTAAGATATTGCAGACGTAGTGTTTCCACAGGGTGGCTCTTCAATGCACCAGGGGGGCCTGCTTCAGGGAGATGAGGACTGAGCGCATGCGAGAGACATCTTTGGCCTGTTTGCTGGACTTAGGGTTAAAGTCACACAGGCGGGCCACCCGCTCCCACTCAGTGCCTGGGGATGACTCATCGATGTCGTTTACAAAGGCTTCTTCTGCTGCCCTGGAAGTAATAACAAAGTATGTTGGTTTAATGTAAAAAACAAAAACCCTTTGAGCAATCTGGTGGCTGCCTTGCTACCAAGTGACTGTTTCTTTTGACTCTAGGGTGTTCTGGTTTTTCAGAGAGTATCAGTCCCTGGCTCAGGTCAGAGGCAGGGGCAGACACGAGGCCAGCTCTCCTCGGTACAAGTACCCAGGCTGCTGTATGAAATGGTGGAATACAGGTGTTTGGTTCAGGGCTCAGCCCATCCCTACGGCTATCTTTGCTCAGTAGAGCATGAAAAAGCAAGTCCTTGGCCAGCTATGCACAGAGCAAAGCAGCAGGCTGATCAAGGCCTTGCAGAGTAGTTTGTGCTTGGCTATACTGAGATTCAAGGGAAATGAGATTTTAAAAAGCCCTTGGGTCATTGCTTAAGAGCCTGAAACTTACTCCTAAGGCTGGAGAGAAACAGGGCAGAGCAAAAGGCATTCAAGACCAAGCTCCCATGCTAGCAGGCACTAGAGACTAAAGCCATTCTGAAAGGGGTTGTTAAGACATTCACCAGTTCAGCCAAAAGTCTGCCATTTTCTCTCCAGCCAGGTGCCTGGTGCCACTCAGGGAATAAATATACCCTGGCAGGAGAGCCAACATGAGCTGCTTTTTGGCAGGATGCCACTCCAACATTCTTTCAGGTCAAGATCAGCCCACCCCCAGTGGGGAACTAACTGGCAGGAGAAAAAGCTCAAAAGGACAGTGGTAGACACAATGTATTTCATCTATTCCAACAAGCATCACGGGCAAAGCAAAAGCGATGGAGATGACCGGTCTGTGGGAACAAGGGTGGCACTATCACAGGGATGGCCGTGGCAAACACTGCTGAAGCCCAGAGCCACTACAACACTGCGACTTCATGGCACACACAGTTAGGGGCAGTGAGAAAGGTTTACTTAACTGTTCTAGGCTGTAGCAAGGATGGTTTATGTTTGTGCTTAAAGGTGAAGAGAAGAAAAGAAACAAGGAGAAACTTTAGGTCAGATATAGAAAATGAGAATGAGCTCAATGCAGATGGTCAGTAAGCTAGACATGCCCTTGCAGCTCTACCTGTGCCTGGGGACGTGCAGCTGGC